TACTAAAAGACATTGAATTGTAGACTAAATAGGTGAATTATATAGTATGTGAATTATATCTCAATGTAACTATTTAAAACAAAAATGGCCAAAGCTAAAAGAGATTTATAGATAGCCTCAGTTAACTAAAAAGTAAACTGAAAAGTGCTAGGTCAATGTATGGCTTTTTCTATTTCCTTTGCATTATAAATTTCCCCCAAATGGAGGTGAGCAGCCTTTGTTATCATTTTACATTTTACAAGCCCTTGTACAAATAAGGTCTTTTTGAGTCTTCACTATAATTCAGGAGCAAGATAATTATTTCCTTTATTTTATATAACAGCATGTGGCAGCTCCGAGCTTATGAGATTTACTGTGGTTCATTCAGCTGGTCATAGCAGAGGTCAGTTCTTCCGCACCTAAATCCTGGGTCCTTTCTTTTACACTGTGTAGCATTTCAGGGTGCCAGGTAGGTACTGTCATGCGGAGATGACACTTCTGACCCATCTCAATAAGAAAATGCCCAAGACTTGATTTTTAAGGGAGCTGGCCTAGCCAACCTAAGACCCCATTCAAGTATAATCTAACTCATCGGAGGTCTCATGGTACCATGGAAAGAACCTTTTGCTTTTGAGTCCTTTGCTGTTTTGAAATTTATTTCCATTTTGGCTCATCCTTTTATTTGCCTCAGGGCCTAGCACAGTACCTGATGTTCCAAAAGATTTGAATGAAGAATTTATGAATACTGTACGCAGCTTGTCATGCATTACATCTCAATATAACTGTTGGAGGTGAAGGGGAGTAAGGAATTTCTTATTCCACGTGGGAGGACCATGAAAAGAATCATGATTTCAAGCAAGAAGACTCGAAGTGGCCTCAATTTTCTCTTCCGTAAAATGAGAAAAAAAGAAATACCACGCTCACGGTTGTCATAAAGATTTAATGGGAGTATATCTGAAAAACCCTGTTTCGCAATGGGTGCACAACTAATGTTCATTAATGCTAAATCAAATACTAACCCAGTACCTTGATATCTCCTATGGAGTCCAGTAGTTCTGGACACTGGGGATTCTAAAGTTCAGTGACGATCAATATCAAAAGGTGCTGATTAGATTTGCCAAACTTGAACTGTCTACCTAATTATAAGGAAGAAACTATTGTTAATTTTATTTCATGTTGTATATAAAATTGTGTTCTCTTGTAACTTCAGATTAATTTTATATCTTGGTTTGCACTCACATTCAAGTGTGTGTGCGTGGGCATGTGTGTTTATTTTAGTGACCCCCAAACCTAGTTACATATCAGAATCAAGGTGGGCCAGGTGCAGTGGCTCATGCCTGTAATCCAGCACTTTGGGAGGTGGAAGCCGAGGTGGGCAGATCACCTGAGGCCAGGAGTTCAAGACCAGCCTGGCCAACATGGACAAACCCCGTCTCTACTAAAAATTAGCTGGGCATTGTGGTGCATGCCTGTAGTCACAGCTGCTTGGGAGACTGAGGCACGAGAATTGCTTGAACCCAGGAGGCAGAGGTTGCAGTGAGCTGAGATGGTGCCAGTGCACTCCAACCTGGATGACAGAGTTAGACTCTGTCTCAAAAAAAAAAAAAAAAAAAAAAAAAAATTCACTCAGGGTGCTATTAAATGCACAGATTGTAGTATAAAGACCTTGACTTGGCCAGGCACAGTGGCTCACACCTGTAATCCCAGCACTTTGGGAAGCCGAGGTAGGTGGATCACCTGAGGTCAGGAGTTTGAGACCAGCCTAACTAACATGGAGAAACCCCATCTCTACTAAAAATACAAAAATTAGCTGGGCGTGGCAGCACATGCCTGTAGTCCCAGCTACTTGGGAGGCTAAGGCAGGAAAATCGCTTGAGCCTGGGAAGCAGAAGTTGCAGTAAGCTAAGATTGCGTCATTGCACTCCAGCCTGGGTGACAAGAGCGAAACTCCATCTCAAAAAAACAAACAAAAAAAGAGTTTGACTTAGTAAATCTGGAATATTTAGAGAGTTTCCACTTTTACTAAGCTACCATGTGATTCCCCAAACATCACTGAATCAGTGATAAAACCATTCACTGGACATTTTCTAAGAAATGTTTTCTTATGTAGATTGCAAAACGCATCCATTTACCAAATAAAACTCTGAACTATGTTGTTATTTCAGAAGAGAACATACTGTAGGAGGGCAAACCTTTTCTCTCCTGCCTTACTAGAATTAAAAGGAAGTAATAACATTCTGAAAGTCTGTGAATGCAGGAATCTTCTGAAGAGAGAATGTTCTGCCAAATCTTGCCGTTTGAATTATCTTCATTCACCATTTCAAAGGGACTTTTCAATCAAAGGAAGCTGTAAATTCTTACTACAAGTTGATAACCTCATTCTGATGAAAGTCATAACACAAGAAGAGTCAAGGGTCAAGAAAAAATAGTGGAGGCTCTCACCTGTAATACCAACACTTTGGGAGGCCAAGGCGGGAGGATGGCTTAAAGCCAGGAGTTCGAGACCAGACTGGGCAGCAAAGCGAGAACCCGATCTACAGAATAATAATAATAATAAACTAGCCTCTACAAAAATAAACAAAATTAGCCAGGCATGGTAGCATGCACCTGTAGTCCCAGCTACTTGGGAGGCTGAGGTGGGAGGATCACTTGAGCCTGAGAGGTTGAAGCTGCAGTGAAGCAAAATTGCACCACTACACTCTAGCCTGGAAACACAGCAAGTTTCTGTCTCAAAAAATAAAATAAAATAATGAAAAAACAAAAACAAAAAACTAAACCCAATATCAACAGGACACCTAAGATGAGGCCAGTTCAGAGAAGTGCAGAGTTAGAGATCATCAGGCATCTATGCATAGCTAATTAGAGCAGGTTGAGCACTGGGTAACTCCATTCCATTTCAGTCAAAATAGGAAACCCTTGAGGGTTTACTGTTGTCTCTATTAAAGAAAGTACATGTACTCTAAGAACCTTGAGCTATACTGCTTTGTCTACCCAGGAATTCCCAAATGTTTGTTCATATTCTGCCAGCATGATTCTACTACACATTTACTATACATTCTCTTATTTTTTGAGACATTTACTGTACATTCTTAGTCAACATCTTCTGCTTCCTCCAAAAAATATAATAATAATAATTAAAAGTATCCAGAAGCCCAGGGGCTGAGGAAAGGAGGGAATAGGGTATTCTAATGGCTTTCTGTTTGGGATGATGAAAAAGTTCTGGAAATAGGTAGTGGTGATGGTGACAAAACATTGTGAATGTACTTAATGCCCGTGAATTAAGGGTACATTTTTAAATGGTTAAAACGGTACATTTTATTTTATGTATATTTTACCAAATATAATCATAAAAATCATAGAATCAAAAAAAAAAAAATCACAGGCCAGTATGTTAATCACATTTCCTGTCACCCTGGGGTGCAGGTGCTCTAACCCATGCGGCTGTAGAGTGTTTGTCCTGGTGGACAAAACAAAGATTCAAATACATAACTTGATGGAAATGTAAAGCACTTCTTGAAAGCTGAACAGAAAATTTCCCTCCAACATACCTAGGCCAGCGTTTCTCAGAGTTTAACGTGCAAATGGATCCCTCAGGTGATCTTGATTCAGCAGATCTGGGTGGGGCCTGAGATCCTGCATTTCAAAAGGCCTCCAGGTAATGCAACCGTGAACATGGACCTTACTTAAAGTGGCAAGACACCTGAACACTTCAAAGTACACAGAATGTCACCCTATCACCAATAGAATAACAGTCTCCTCACCAGGAGACGAAGAGGATAGATAGTATCTCTCAAGTGAATTGGTTAAAGGCTTAACTTACCCAAAAGCGTTTAGAAACCTGGACAGAAGACCTGCCTGCGGAGGCCTCCCTATGGAACCCGCCCACCTCTGGGACTGGGAAGCAGCCACAGACAATAAGGATAGTTGAGACACTTAGTTGCGCAGAAAGCCCTCGTGCAAACTTCAAAACACTCTTGAAAATGCCCTTCTCAAGCTCGAAGAATGCCTGGAATTCAGTGGCCTTTTTCCAACATAAAGATCTCTGACTCGGTTTTGACTGAGAGCTCCCTACAGAAGAACTTTGCAATGCATCCCTGGAAAACTGACAACGCCCTGTATATGCTGACAAGCTCGGCCCCTCCCTTACAAATGGGTCAGAAAGCGAAATTTGTTGCTGTTGTTTAAATGTTTTCTAAGGCTCTGCCGCGTTAGGCAGAGGAGATCCCCGTTTTTCGGGCTGCGCGGGCAGGGCGAGCACCTCCAGGGCTGTACAGTCAAGCTCTCTGGAGTGCGGAGTTTTCAAGCCCGGCGGCGGAGGCTCAGCGGGCACTCAGCCCCACCAGCTTCCAATAACCAGCGCCGCGCTCCGTCCGCGTCACTCCAAGGCACCGGCTCCTGCCCCCTCCAGATACGGTTGGCTGCGCCAACAGAAACTCAAAGGCCCTTTTAATCGGGTAATAGAGAAGCTCAGCAGAAAGTGAAACAGTTTCCATCCCTTGAGTGAAAGGGTGCCAGGCCAGGGAGGAGAAAGAAGGTGGCTCCCAGACACCTGTGGCTGCCGCAGGTGCGTGTTCAGGCACACCTGTTGATGATTCCCCCAAAGAGACCCTGTGAGGCGCTGCCGCCCCGGGGGCGATGGGGAAGCAGGGAAAAAGTAAATGCCGGATGAAGTACACCGCACACTCTGCAGAGAAACCTAGAGGACGTCAACCCCTACTTACTCGCGCTGCCCCTCACCCCCGCCTGCACAAACGACCCAGGGCACCAGCGCGAATTCTCGCCCACCAAATCATTCCCTGGCCAAAGTAGGGACAGGAGGGAAGGCATCTCGGCGACGCCTGGGCACAAGCTGCCGCGCCTCGGCGGCTCTCCCAGGGCGCGCTGCAGGCAGCACCGGGGCCGGGGAGGGAGACGGAGGAGGGTACTCGCCTAGAGCGGGTGGCGGCCGCGGGTGGCGGTGTCGGGCGCTGGGCGAGGACGAGGGCGGCTCTCCGGGGCGCTGGGCGGCGCGGCACTAGTGCAGCGGGTGGCGGCCGCGGCCGGCGGTGTCGGGCGCTGGGCGAGGACGAGGGCGGCTCTCCGGGGCGCTGGGCGGCGCGGCACTAGTTGCTGGACTGGTGTCCCCTGCGCTCCCTGCGCGCGTCGCTGGCAGCACTTCACCCGAGCCGGAGTGCGGGAGGCTCCCCGGGAATGGGAGGGCGCCAGCGGCCTCCGCGGCTGCTTCTGTATATTATTGTGACTTGGGCTATTTCCTGTTTAGAGCTTTGAGAGAAGGGGAAAAAAAATCCAGGGTGGGGGCAGGGGGAATTGGGCGGTGGCGAGCCAGAGAGCGGCGGCCGGGAGGGGAAGGAGGTGGGCGGCGGCTGTCACCTTCTTCCTTGAGACCGGAGGGTTCTGGGCGCCCGAGACCCGGGAGGAAGAAGCAGCTGCTCGCAACGCTACTTTGCGGTGTGGGGAAGGGCGGACAGGGTGGGCCTGCACGGACGCCACCCAGCGGTGGGGCAGGGGCCGCGGCCGCCTAGGAGACGTTTGTCACTGGAGTCCGCGCGCCCACTTTGCCGCCTCTTTTCTTTTACACAGAACTGCAGCTGAGCTTCTTTTCAGAGCGGGTGCAAGAGGAATTTGCTGGGCTTCTTTCTCTATGCGTGCCCAGGTCCGCTTCCTGATCCTCTCCAGGGTGTGGGCAAGGAGGAGGTCAGCTCCTCTACGCTTCAAAGCCCCCGGGAAGCATGGTTGTGGACCACTGTGGGTGCGCGGAGGGCTCTTGGAGGGGCGGGGAGGTCACCGGTTTTATTGAGGGGTGTGAGACAAGTTAATGATTTTAGTGTAAAGTTAACTTTTACGACCCGCTTCCGTTCCCCTCCCCCGCCAGTCTCGCCCTTAGCCGGGATCACTGGGTCTGAGGCCCCAATCCGGAAATACCGGTTCCTCCACCCGGACAATAGGTGAGGGCGGGAGCGCTACCCAGAGAGCCTGCTTAGTCACCTCGGGAATCCCTGCTCAGTCGGGAGGGCAGAACCCTCCCAGTGCCCAGCCCTCCACCTGGCAAGCAGGTGCCCCTTCGGTTTAACACGGCTTGTTAAAAACCCTGGGAAGAGAATGGGGACTTAGTGTTTAATCGGTAGAGTTTCAATGTGGAATGACAAAAAGTTCTGGAGACCGAGAGTGGGGATGTTTGCACAAGTGTTAATATACCTAATAATGCTGTAACTGCCCAGTGGGTTCACCTTGCCCGCTACGTAGACAGAGCCGATTTATCAAGACGGGAATTTTAATGGCGAATGAGTAATTCACGCAGAGCCGGCTGTGCGGTAGACCGGAGTTTTATTATTACTCAAATCAGTTTCTTCACGCATTCGGGGATCAGATTTTGGTTGGTTGGTTGGTTGGTTTCGGGTTTTTTGTTTGCTTGTTTTGTTTGAAAGCGAATTTCGCTCTTGTCGCCCAGGCTGGAGGGCAGTGGCACGTGCGATCTCGGCTCACTGCAACCTCCGCCTGAGTTCCAGGGATTCTCTCCCCTCAGCTTCCTGAGTAGCTGGGATTACGGGCGCCCGCCACCACGCCCAGCTAATTTTTACGTTTTTCATGGAGACGGATTTCCCAGGTTGGCCAGGCTGCTGTCGAACTCCTGACCTCAGGTGATCCACCCTCCTCGGCCTCCCAAAGTGCTGGGATTACAGGCCTGAGCCACCGCAACCTGCCCTGAGTTTTTAAAGATAATTTGGCGGGTAGGGGCTTCAGAAGTGGGGAGTGCCGATTGCTCAGGTTGGAGATGGAATCACAGCGGGGTGGAAGTTAGGTTTTCCTATGTCTTCTGTCCTTATCTGCGATGGCAGAACTGGTTTGGTCTGGGTGGTGTCAGCTGATCCATCGAGTGCAGAGTCTGCAAAATATCTCAAGCACTGCTCTTAGGTTTTACAATAGTGATGTTATCCACAGGAGCAAATTTGGAGAGGTTCAGACTTTTGGATCCTGAAGCTGCAAGACCCCTAAATTGTTAATTTCTAATCTTGTAGCTAATTTGTTAGTCATGCAAAGGCAGACTGGACCCCAGGCAAGAAGGGTGTATTTTCGGGATAGGGCTGTTATCAATTTCGTTTCAGAGTCAAACCATTAACCGAATTCCTTCGCAAAGTTAGTTCTGCCTATGCCCAGGAATGAACAAGGACAGCTTAAGGGTTAGAAGCAAGATAGAGTCAGTTAGGTCTGATTTCTTTCACTGTCATAATTTCCTCAGTTATAGTTCTGCAAAGGCGGTTTCAGTGCCTTACACTGTACACTTAAAAATGGTTAAAACGGGCCGGGCACGGTGGCTCACGCCTGTAATCCGAGCACTTTGGGAGGTCCAGATGGGTGGATCACGAGGTCAGGAGATCCAGACCATCCTGGCTCACAGGGTGAAACCCCGTCGCTACTAAAAATACAAAAAAATTAGCCGGGCGTCGTGGCCGGCCCCTGTAGTCCCAGCTACTCAGGAGGCTGAGGCAGGAGAATGGCGTGAACCCGGGAGGCGGAGCTTGCAGTGAGCCAAGATGGCACCACTGTACTCCAGCCTGGGCTACAGAGCGACACTCCTCCCAAAAAAAAAAAAAAAAAAAAAAAAAAAAAAAAAAGTTACAACAGCTGGGCTGGGTGGCTCAAACTATAATCCCAGCACTTTGGGAGGCAGAAGCAGGCGGATCACTTGAGGTCAGGAGTTCGAGACCAGCCTGGTCAACGTGGTGAAACCCCATCTCCACTAAAAATACAAAAATTAGCTAGGCATGCTGGCGCACGCCTGTAATACCATTCCTACTCGGGAGGCTGAGGCAGGAGAATTGCTTGAACCTGGGAAGCAGAGGTTGCAGTGAGCCGAGATCTCACCATTGCACTCTGCACTCCAGCCTGGGCAACAAAGTGAGGCTCCGTCTCAAAAAAAAAAAAGTTAAAACGATACATTTTATGCTGTGTATATTTTACCACACACACAAAATCCTGAGTAGGATTCCATCACTCACTCCAGACAACTTTGCTTAGGACTGCCAAACTCTTCTTCCCCACGCAAACTTTTGCCAGAAGTAATAGAATGGATAACAGTACTTTTTATAAAACTCAGGTTTAGGCCGGACATGGTGGCTTACGCCTATAATCCCAGCGTTTTGGGAGGCCAAGGTGGGCAGATCACGAGGTCAGGAGTTCGGAGACCAGCTTGGCCAATATGGTAAAACCCTGTCTCTACTAAAAATACAAAATTAGCCAAGCATGATGGTGCACATCTGTAATCTGAGCTACTTAGGAGGCTGAGTCAGGGAACCCGGGAGGCGGAGGTTGCAGTGAGCTGAGATTGTGCCACTGCACTCCAGCCTGGGTGACAGAGTAAGACAATGTCTCAAAACAAAAGCAGAAACTCAGTTTCATTTAGGTTAGACTTCTGATGATACCCATCAACAACTTATTTCAACAAGAGGGAAGATCAAACCTGAAGAACACTGCAATTTTAAGAAAGATGAACAACAATTTGTCAGAAACTAGGGTATTAACAAAGTAATAAAGGTGTATGTAGGATGCTCCTGTTTACCTATGAAAGCAGTAAAAAAAAATTACCCAGGCGTGGTGGCGGGTGCCTGTAATCCCAGTTACTTGGGAGGCTGAGGCAGAGAATTGCTTGAACCCAGGAGGCAGAGGTTGCAGTGAGCCAAGATCCCGCCACTGCACTCCAGCCTGGGCAACAGAGCAAGACTCTTAAAAAAAAAAAAGAGAGAATATACCACGTTTTGTCCATTCGACTTTGGAATGACATAAATGTTTTACATTCTTGTGAAACAAAACTAAATTTAAAAAAAGCAAAATGCAACACATGAACACTGGTATCAAGTTGGTAGCTTAATAGTATAAAGGGAAGTTATATAAAGTGACTTTAAAACACAATTATTGCCAGGAGCAATGGCTCACCCCTTTGGGAGGCCGAGGTGGCCAGATCACAAGACATCAGGAGTTGGAGACCAGCCTGGTCAACATGGAGAAAACCCATCTCTACTAAAAAAAAATACAAAAATTAGCCAGGCATGGTGGCACATGCCTGTAATCCCAGCCACTCAGGAGGCTGAGGCAGAACAATCACTTGAACCAGGGAGGCAGAGGTTGCAGTGAGCCCAGATCACCCTGCTGGACTCCAGCCTGGGCAATAGCGCCAGATTCTGTCTCAAAAGAAAACAAAAAACAAAAAACCACACACAGACACAATTAATTATTGGGGCTGGACAAAGTGGCTCATGCTCTTGATCCCAGCACTTTGGGACGCTGAGGCAGGCAGGTCACTTGAGGCCAGGAGTTTGAGACCAGCCTGGTCAACAGGATATCTCTACTAAAAACACAAAAATAAGGCCGGGCCGGGCATGGTGGCTCAAGCCTATAATCGCAGCACTTTGGGAGGCCGAGGAGGGCGGATCATGAGGTCAGGAATTTGAGACCAGCCTGACCAACATGGTGAAACCCCGTCTCTACTGAAAATACAAAAAAACTAGCTGGGCGTGGTGGTGCATGCCTGTAATCCCAGCTACTCAGGAGGCTGAGGCAGGAGAATCGCTTGAACCAGAAGGCGGAGGTTGCAGTGAATTGAGATCGTGCCATTGCACTCCAGCCCGGGCAACAGAGTCAGACTCCATCTCTAAGTAAGTAAGTAAGTAAGTAAATAAACAAACAAACAAACAAACAAATAAATAAAGTAAAAATACAAAAATTAGCCAGGCATGGAGGCTGAGGCACAAGAATTGCTTGAGCCCAGTGAGCGGAGGTCGCACCACTGCACTCCACTTCAGCCTGGATGACTGAGCGAGAAAATCCACAATTATTTGACTCTATATCCTTTGGGGATATACCTAAGGACAAAGAGAACTTTAAGAAAAAAAAAAAAAAAACTATAACCTTTTTCAGTAATCATAATGTTAGCAGTAATTATGTTAATATCCTTAGAAATCAAGATTTTTCTTTTTTTTTTTTTTTTTGAGACAGTCTCATTCTGTTGCCCAGGCTGGAGTGCAGTGCGCGATCTCCGCTCACTGTAAGCTCCGCGTCCCGGGTTCACCCCATTCTCCTGCCTCCGCTGCCTGAGTAGCTGGAAGTACAGGCACCCGACACCACGCCCGGCTAATTTTTGTATTTTTAGTGGAGACGGGTTTCGCCATGTTGGCCAGGGTGGTCTCAATCTCCTGACCTCGTGATCCATCCGCCTCGGCCTCCCAAAGTGCTGGGATTACAGGCGTGAGCCACCGCGCCCAGTCAAGATTTTTCAGTGTAAAAGATAAACATAAAATCAAAGAAGTTGAGCAATATTAAAATTTGAGTTGGAATCATTACTTATAACTCATGATGTACTTTTCTTAAAATAAATAAATAAATAAAATTAATAAAGTCCACGATCTACTCACTGAAAACAAACAATAACCAAACTGATAGGAACAAGTATCCTCAGATCCCACACTATGCTCTCAAAATACCATTTTCCTTCAAAAGAATCTACTTATCCTTGGAGACATGGTTGATAATAGGTCTAGAGTAAGATGAATGCCAAATAAGCCTGGAATATCTTGCCAATTCAGAAAGCAAGGAAGCTCTCAGAAACAAATTTATTTGAAATGTCATCTGGAACCAATTTGTAGAAACTCTTACTGGCCAAAGTGGAATAAATTTGAGCATCAATAAGAAAAATAACAGCAATAAATTGAGACATATCAAATATTTGTATATCCATGAGTCATAATGATGCTTTTTAAAAAATCTTAATTGCTCAAC